TTAAAGAAATTATATATCCACAAAGGAAGCTCCAGTAAAGTTGGGGCCTGAAAAGTTGGAGCAGAGGAGAGCTTCCTTGGTGAAAAGATTAGCATTAAAAGGAAGCCGCAGGAGGGCCAGGGATTTAGCTCAGTGGTTCCCCTGCCTGCCTTGCAAGCTCAAGGACCCAAGTTCGATCCCCGGTACCAAAAAAAAAAAAAAAAAAAAAAGAGAGAAGCTGCAGGAGGTCTGGGATGTAGCTCAATGGCATTGTGCTTGCCTGGAAAGCTCAAGGTCCTGAGTTCAATCCTCAGTACCAGAAAAATAAATAAATAAATAAAATAAAAAGAAGCCACAGAGCATGGTGGCGCACACCTATAATCCCTCCACTTGGGAGGCTGAGGCAGGAGGATCACTGAGAGTTTAAGGCTAGCTTGGGCTACATAGTAAATTCAAAGCCAGCATGAACTATACAGTGAAACCCTATTTCAAAACATCATGAAAAAAACCCAAAAGAAACAGCAGCAGCAACCAAGTACTCTGGAATAGGACAAGAAGAAAAATGGCTTAAGGGCATGAGAGGAACCGCAAAACCCTACCCTTTGCAGGCTCAAAACTGCAAAAGAGAAAGACTCTACTTTGAGAACACCGGAGCAGGATATATTATATATTAGCTAATAAGTCCATTATCTAGAGAATGGTCTAGTCTATTATCTAGAGAACGGTCTAGATCAGCGGTAGTAAACCTATGGCACATATGCCACAGCTGGCTGTTTGTTACCATTGAAAGCTCTAAAAGGTTTGCTATCACTGGTCTAAATAACAGTCTATTACCCAGAGGATTTTCCCTGGGTTTCTCAGTTCACAGTGCTCAAAAGCCTTGGGAACCACCAGCAAGATCCAAAGGGGCCTGACTACTGCTCCAGCTGGAAGCAGATCTTAGCATCATCAACAAGGTACTAGTTTTATGCACATGCAGAATTCAAGAGTTGTGGGGTAAGGGAGGCTTCCATGTAGATTTTAGAAGGCCTAGACGGCCAGACAGTATGCCCCTATGAAGGCAGTGTATGAAGCTGTGAGAGTGAAGCCAAAAGTGCAGTGGAGACCCCAAGATGTTGGAAAAGCCAAGAAAGTGGACCATCTGAAGAAAGCTGCAAGAAGTGACCAAAACTGGCCCAAGACAGAGACCTTGGGATCTGCAACCATGAGCAGTATTATTGGGGAAGGTCTACCCAAAGGCCTTTGGACTTCCCATCTCACCACAATTTGTTCAGGGTACAAGACACAGAACTACAGGATTTAATGTTTGCCCTGCTGGGTTCTGAACTTGCTTTTCTCTCATTCCTTTCTATCCTCAATTTCTCCCTTTTGGAATTTGAATGTTTATCCTGTGCTATTGTATGCTACAAGTGTTTAACTTTTTTGCGGGGGCAGGGTGAGACAGAGTCTCGTTATGTAGTTCAGGCTGGCCTTGAACTCACTATGTAGTCCAGGCTGGCCTCAAATTCATGGGAATCCTCCTGCCTCCGCCTCCTGAGTGCTGGAATTACAGGCATGTGCTGCTAGTGACTTTTTATTCATTTTTACAGGGGTTCACAGCTAAGAGTTTGCCTTATTTAAATCTCAAAGGAGATTTTGGACTTGGACTTTTAAGCAATGCTGAAACTGATAGAACTTTGGCAACTCCTAGAGATGGACAAAATACAATTAGCAGAAAGAGAAACATGGGGCAAAATGTTACGGTTTATATCCAGATGTCCCCCTAAAACCTCATGTGCTTACAGGTGGGGCTTTCAGGAGGTGAATGGATCATGGGGGCATGATATTCCATTGATGACTAATCCACTGATGAGTTTATTGCTAAATGTGATGTTGGGAGGTAAATTCTGGTCTGAGTAGGTGGATCACTGGGGGCATGGCCTGGAAGGATGTATCTCCCATCCTCCTCCCTTGATCTCTTTCTGCTTCCTGCAGCCAAGCCATGAGCCATTTCTCCTCTGCCATATCACCCTGCCTTGGAGCTAGCTGAGATAATAGTCTGAAACATCTATAAATTGTGAGCCAAAATACATTTTTTCCTCCTTTAAATATATATATATATATATACCCTCAAAGAAAAGATACTGAAATTCATGAAACTCTACCAGGAAGCTCTAAAAAGGAACATTTAGAGAATAAGAAGATACTTGGAAATGTAGTATCAGAAATGTTAAAATTTGACATAAGAGTTTTAAGATAAAGTTGAAGAAATCTCCCAGAATATAAACAGGAAAGAAAATACAAGAAAAATTAGGAAGATCAGGCCAGAGTCTAACTTTCTTCCAAGAAAACTCCAAAAAGAGTGGCACACATCTGTGATCCCAGCCAGCTCTCGGGAGGCTGAGGTAGGAGGATCACCATGAGTTCGAGGCCAGCCTGGGCTATATAGATGAGTGAGACCCTGTCTCAAAAAAAAAAAAAAAAATCCAAAAAGAACACAGAAAGCATGTCAAATTATCCATAAAATGTTACAAGAAAAAAAAATTCTAGAAATGAAGGAATATCCAGATTGAAGGGTTTATAGAATGTCTAATAAATTAAAAATTACCTACATCAAAGTATAGCATGATTATTTCATAGCACTTAGAATAATGACAAAAATTCCTAATGCTTCCAAAGAGAGAAAAACAGCCATATACAAAACAGCAAAAGTCAGAAAAGCATTAGAGTACCAAGACTTCAAAATTCTAAGGAAACAAGATTCACACCCTAGAATTCTGTGCCCAAACACTGATAGACATTAGCAAGGGAAGAATAAAGATATTTAAGACAGAGTCACAAGGATTACTCTTACATCCCTTCCTTGGGAAGCTACTACAGAATACGTTTCACCCAAAGGAGGGTGCAATCCAAGCAGGATGCCATTCATTAAAACATAAAAAATACAGGAACCATAACGGCCAAAGTGAAGGGACTCAGAGGATGAAGATGAACAGATGTTCTCGGCTGATGACTGTTCAGAGTGGGCCTACCAAGTGACCAGTCCAGGCCACAGTAAGTAAGGACCACAGGACTCCAGGAATTATGTGATAGCTTAGATGTACTAAAAAAGCACTGTGCTGTTCTGTAGAAGAGTGTGAACATACTCTGATAACATATGTACAGAAAAGTTAATGAAAAACTTGAGGTAATGATGAACCTCAGAAAAACAAATAGTTGTATAAGAAAGGAGATAGTATAATACTTATACCATCCTAAAATGACTAATAATGACATAAATACTAAGTTCACCAAAATGGTGACATCAGTATACAAAAAGGAAAAGAGAAGGAAGATAGGGGAGAATTAATTACAAAAAGTCAAATATCACTACAAAAAAGTTAAAAGATAATATCTAAAATCGAAAATTCAGAAAAAGAAATATAAGTGTATTATTTTTAAATTTATAATTAAATTCTGGAAGAAATATCTGGAATAGATAAAAGTGGTTCCTTCTAAGCTGGCATGGTGTCACACGCCTATAATTCTAGTGCTTGGGAGGCTGAGGCAGGAGGATCACTGTGAGTCTGAAGCCAACCTGGGCTACACAGTGAGTTCAAGGCCAGCCTGAGCTACACTATGAGTTCAAGGCCTGCCTGGACTACATAGCAAGACCTTGTCTGAAAAACAAACAAAAAAATGGTGCCTTCTACAGAATTACTAAGAGAGAGGCGGCTGAGGCTGAAGCACTTTTGACTTCCACTAAAAAGCCAATACTGGGCCAGGGATTTAGCTCAGTGGTTTCAACACCTGCTATGCAAGCCCAAGGACCCGAGTTCAATCCCCAGTACCAAAAAAAAAAAAAAAGAACTCATAAAAAGCCCATACCATTTGGCTGGTTTAAAGTGTTATTTTTAAAACTATTTGATTGACTAATAACGTACATATAAACACATGAATATATGTTATGCATACATAAGGTACACAACACATAGGATGTTTAATGTGTACTGTGTAAAATACATTACAAAAATCAAAACTGAATTAAACACAAAGAGAAAAAATATGCCCCCCCAATTTTTTTCTATCATAAATGTAACACTTGTGATATTTAAAACAGTAGGATCTGGATTCCGAAAATAATTCCAAAAAGAAGGTTATAATTTCTTAAGTCAGCATTTTAAAAAGATCAAGAACTTGGATGAAGTATATGTTTTAGTATGTACATTCTACAAAAACGTGCCTCGGTATTTGTGGTATATAAGGATGAGTTAAAATCAGTAGGTGTCAGAAAAACCTTAAATCTTTAGGTCCCACTGGATGACAGCTGAACTAGTTTGTAAAGCAGTAATTATTTGAAAATGGCAGAGTGATGCCAGAAACCATGATTACACAGGCAGAAGGGATATAAACTAAGGTCCTGTGTATAAGACAGCAAGAAGTAATGGGCCTAAAACACAACAGCAAAAACTTAGGTAACATGTAACAAGCTTTTCAAGAATGTTGGTTGCACAGATAAATTACCATAGAAAAATGTCTACTCTCCTCTAGTGATCTTCAGAAGGCAGAGAAAAAAAGGGCAAGAATTTATCCTCTATCCATCTGCATCCCTATTCTTTCAGTAGGGCACCCACATGAATACCTGGGAATAAACTCAGACTTCTCAAAGTTTGAGGAATGCCACCAAAAAAAAAAAAAAGAAAGAAATCCAGTATTATCTGTGTTTATAAAAATACATCAAGAAAAATTTCCCAGTTGTCTTGCAATCACAAACTTATCGAAAAATCAGGCTGGAAACTTTCTTTGCTACATGCAATTTTCTATTACTTTATAGAAGCAGTCTGAAATTGCAGAAGTTTGCCCAATGTGCAAGACATCTTGTGGCTATTCCAGAGTTGGCATGAAGTGTTTAACTTTTACCTGCTTTGTGTACTTCCCTCAGATATTAGGAAATAATACAAAACTAATTATTGAATACAGCCCTACTTCTCCCTTGGAAGAATTCCAGGATTTAACTGTTTGATTTCCAACAAACTGAAAAGCTAGATTTGTTCTCTCTTTACCTTCAGTGCTGAGAAGAACATGGGGGCCACTCCCATAACTAAGGCTTTTAATCTTCTTTCCACATAAGGCTTCTAGCTTCTTAGGTACAAGTGTACTCTGGTTATCTCCAGTTCCTAGGCAGTTACTATAATTCAGTCCAAACACAAAGACCTAGAAAACAAATAGTTTGTCTGAGTTATCTGGCCTAAAGTTATATTAAAAGCTCCTTTCTCAGTCAGGCACAGTGGTGCATGCCAGTAATCCCAGCACTCTGGGAGGCTGAGGCCAGAAGGTCACCATTTCAAGTCTACCCCCAGCAACTCAATGACTTAGCAAGACCCTGTCTCAAAATAAAAAATCTGAGAAGGGCTGGGGATATAGCTCAGTGCAAAGGCCCTGGGTTCAAATTTTAAAAAGCAAACAAACAAATCCACTCTTTCTCTATAAGGCACATTCAAGTTCAATTTGATAGCTCAGTAGGTAAGAAGAGGCTGATAAGATTGCCTGGAAAAATTCAAACTCTGCTGACATTATTTAAGTTTTATACTATTTGTCTACATTATGGGGCAGAGTACCATCAAATCAAGAAATTGAAGTAAGAGAGAAATTTTATCAAAGGTACAATCTTCCAGAGTTTCAGGTTCTCTTTATCCTGCACCTTTTCTCAGTCTTCAAACTGCATGATCTGAATACCAGCCCCAAAACTAAATCCCAGTTTGCAGTCTTACCTCATCATTGTCAGTGACATAAAGCGCTTCATTGGCTGAGGTGCCAAAGACACATGCTTTCCTAATAGACGCAATTTCTTGAGGTGAGAGCAGAGTAAAGATTGGCCACTTTCCTACATCCACCATGACTCTGACTTGAAGCAATTCCTATAAATAAGCTGACATTGCTGCTGGAACAAACAAAAAGGATTCTAAGAAAAAAATAAATAACTATTAAACTAAAAGAAAGGTTTCTTAGGGCCAGGGATTTAGCTCAGTGGTTTCACCGCCTGCTGCTCAAGGACCCGAGTTCGATCCCCAGTATCAAAAAAAAAAAAAAAAAAAAAGGACTCTTAATAAAAAGCTAATTCCAGAATAGATGACTTACCTTTGGTTAAGTGGATTACTTACTTTCCCCAGCAATCCGTCCTCTACTTTCAAACATGAGCCTTTTCCTGTAACAAAAACACAATATACTAGAAACAGGCATTTACTTCCCCTGATCACTTACTAGTCAGATTTATCTGTTCCACATGTGTTTTATACAACCAGAGAGCAGATACTAAAGATATGCTACCTAAATAGAATCAGGGTCTCCCCTCATGGATATTTCCCTCAGATATTCAAATTAAGTTATTAATTTGTCCCAAATAGTTAATTCTCAATTAGGAATGTGTATGTGATTTTACGATAAAATTCAGAAACATTACCTCTACCTCCCCACTGTTCAACTTCCACCCCCAGGATACCCGAAACACCCATCCCTTGTAGAAAATCACTGCCATGTGAAGCCATTACTTAATGATGGCAATGAGAGCCTAGGGCAAGCAAAATTTTAAGCAGCATTCACTTAAGATTTATTGGATGAAATCACACAAAAAAATATTCCATTTCTAATTTCTTTGATCACATTTCATTTTACAGTAACAAAATTTATCATATGAAGAAAGATAAGGCAGTTCACTTCAGTTTTGGTGGTGAGTTGATGACTATACTATAGTCTTCACTCAAGTTTCAATTAGCTTAAATGGTACCCTACAAGTAGACAGATGTATAAGTTTTCAAAAAAAATCTAAACTTCATCTGTTTACAGAGTTTTATATAAAGAATCCTAGTCAGGGCTCACATTTTTTTTTTCTTTTGGTACCAGCGATCAAACTCGGTTCCTTGCGCTTGCGCAGCAGGCGGCAAAACCACTGAGCTAAATCCCCGGACCCTAGGGCTCACATTTTTTTAAGGTTAAAGAGTCTATCTAGACATTCCAGTGGTCCTCAGAGTACAAAATCGTATTGTGCCAAGTGAACTTCCATTCTGGCTCTCACCACTGGAAACTGAAATAGAATAAAAACAGGGTTTCCTGATGAGGACCAGAACATTTAAAGTTCCTTCCTACTCACCTCTTAGACTTCTTGTTGTTTTTTTTCTCGATACTGGGGATCAAACTCTAGACCTTGCGCTTGCCAGGCAGGCGTGGCGCCACTGAGCTACATCCTGGCCCTAGACTTCTAAAAATAGCCAAGAGAGACAGGCTCAACACCAAGTTTCTTCTGGCTCCAACCCCTCCCTTAGCACATGTAGAAAGCACCTTGAGCTTAAGTTTGCTTAGTCAACAACACCTCAGTTCCCACCATCCCAGAGAGATTTTTTTTCTGTGAGCACCAACTAGGATGACAGGGACCAGATGCTTATCAGCTGTAAGCATCATACCATATATTCAATGAGGATTAAACACATCAAAATATACTATGCCCTGTCACTGCACAGCTAGAATCTTTCAACGACATTTGAGTATTCTGACAAGTGTACATGCATGAATATATATATGTGTTCTTGAACACTGTGTTTTTTGTGGAGGCAAGCAAAGGACTTAGAGGAGAACAAAAATGCATAACCATGGTTTAAAACACTCTTTCAAACCATGGGCTGGCGTTGTAGCTCAACAGCACTGTGCCTGCCTAGCAAGCTCAAGGTGCTGAGTTTGATTCCAAGTAGTACCAAAAAAAAAAAGTAAACAAATGGCACAAAAGAATACAGGAAAGCAAGTCTCCCTACCATCTCTCTCTGACCATCTCCTCAAAAGCAATCACTGTATGGGCTGGGGATACAACAAAGTGGTAAGACACTTGCCTAGCACACATGAGGCCCTGGTTTTGATCTCTAGTACTCCAAAAAGAAAACAACAACAACAAAAAAAAAACCCCAAAAAAACCCCAGGGCACACTATGTGCCATACAGAACAAGAAGACACGGTCTTTAAATTGGCTGTGTAGTATTTCCATCCTAATGCAACACAGTGTAATGTAAATACCACCAAAATGTTCTGATTAACTCAAAATTACCACTGACCTTGCTACAATTTGATTAGTGTTGAGGTGTTTACTACATTTTCCTGGGGGCAGTGGCACCTCTGCTAGTATTTTTTTAAATGTGCTAGGCAGGCATGGTGGCACACACTTTAATCTCTGCACTCTGGGGAATTCTGAAGTAAGACTGCACGTTCAAGGCCAGTCTGGGCAACTCAGCAAGTTATTAAGATCCTGTGTCTGAAACAAAAGGGGATGGAGGGGGTTGGGGATGCAGCTCAGGGTGAAGCCCTTGGATTCAATCCCCAGTACTGCAAAACAAACAAACAAAACAATATACTAAGTATCATGATTCTATGAATTTAAATAATTATAAAGTATTTATTACCAAGTCAATAAACGAAACCAGGTAGAATAATTACAAATGAATTAGGATTTGATCTCTTATAAAATCTAATTAGCCTTAAGTACCCTGGGCCTAACAATGACTCAAAAATGCAAGGTTAAGAAAAACAACATTACAACAGTGCTGGTATTTTATGACATCTATTAAATTTGCCTAAACCTGAAAGGGAAGTATTAATATATTTGTTCTATCCAGATTTCATGTTAAAGGACTATATAGCTCATCTAGATTTCATTTAAATCACCATCCAAAGGTTGCAGAGTATTTCAGATGCTTCAAATAGTAAGATGTCAATGAGTCACTTAAAGAATTGAGGGGCACTGCTAATGAGGCAGAATCTTCAACTGGCCTGCTCAACCCAGCCTTCCCTGACAGGCTTGCACCTTGGTAAGCATTCAGCAGTGCTTAACTAGTACCCTAAGAAAGGTACACCAATGCGTTCCCATCTTGTGGTACTATACACATTACAAATGGTAGCCACCACCACAGAAGCATCCCAAGGAAAGATGCCAATAAAAAGTATAATACAACTAAACCATGTGCTCATTCCCAAAACAAAACCCAACAAAAATGTATCCTGGAAGATTTAGCTGTAACAGCTACATTATAAAACAATATATAATGTATAATTTTTAAAATATAAAATAATTTTTAAGTGAAAAAATAAAATATAGAGAGAAAATAGGCCAAAACATCTCTCTGAAAAGATTACAGGAGGACTGGGGATTTAGCTCAGTGGTTCCATCGCCTGCCTCACAAGTGCAAGGTCCTGAGTTCAATCCCTGGTACCAAAAAAAAAAAAAAAAGATTACAGGTGATATTTTCTTGCTTTGCATTTTAAAAATATATTCCCAAATTTCTAGAATTTTATGTGATCAGTAAAAATAAATACTTGAGCTGGGCATGGTATCCTATGCCTGCGAAGCTGAGCCAGAAGGATGACAAGTTGAAACCCAGCCCAGGAAAATCAGTAACTAAGCAAGAGCCTATCTCAAAATATAAACTAATAAAATAATAAAAAGCAGGGGATTCAGCTCAGTGCGAAAGTTCTGGGTTCAATCTTCAGTACCACAAAAAATAAATATTTTAAATGAGATGAAAGCTTTCTTATTTCTATTATATTTTGCCTCCTAAGCTGTTAAAATTTTTAAAATATACTCCTTCTATAGATTCACAACCTAGAGTGGTGGATTATCAAGCAAAATATGTAAAACGAAATATAAAATTAAATGTAGAAGATAGGAATATTAAATGTTACATGTACCATGGTACTAGACTTACTAGTCAGCTTTTCCATTGCTGGGACACAATACAAAAAACCACAACTTAAAGAAGAAAAAGTAATTTAGCTCATGGTTTCCGGGGACTGAGTACATGTTTGACTGGCTCCCAGGCAGGAACATCATGGTGCAAGGGTATGGCGAAGCAAAGGGCCTCAGTTCATGGTAGCTGAGAAGCACAGCAGGGGAGCAGAACCATAGAGAAAGAAGTGAGGAACCAGATATAGACTCCAAGGTCATGCCTCCATGACCCACCAGACACACACAGAAGTGTGTTCCAACTGATCCCCCAAACACTCTGGGGCCAGATCCCAAACCAAATCAAACTGACATTCTACCTTAACCATCACAAAACCAATTTCATTTCTAGTATGTACCCAAAAGAATGAAGAACAGGAACTTAATGATCCAATGATCATAGCAGTATTATTTACAACAGCCAAAATATGGAAACAACCAAAATGTCATTGACAGATGAATGGATAAATAAAAGGTGATGAATATATATATATAGACCATATATGGAAAGGAAACTGATACATGCTACAACATAGATGAATCCTGAAGTTACTATACTAATGTGAAATAAATCAGCACAAAAGGACAAATAGTATTTGATCCATTTATATAAAGTACCCTAGAAGCTGGGCATGGTGGCACACACCTATAATCCCAGAACTCAGGAGGCTGAGGCAAGAGGATGCCTAACAGTCTGAGGCCATTCTGGGCTACAGAGTGAGTTTAAGGCTGGTCTGAACCACATAGCAAGACCCTGTCTCACAAATAAATACATAAATAGATATCATAGAATAGTCAAATTCATACACAATAGAATGGCGGTTGCCAAGAACTAAGGGTTGGTGGAAATGGGATGTTATTATTCAATGAACATATTGTTTCACTTCAGGATGATGGGAAATCCTAGAGATAGATGAAATAATAGCCACACAACAATGTGAATGTACAGAGTTACTGAACTGTATTCTTTAAAAAGGTAAATGTCATGTCATGTATATTTTACATCTATAATTTAAAAATCTATAATTTTAAAAATCAAATAATTACCCACAGGTAATTAATAAACTCAAGAATATATTTTTAAAATTCAATGTAGAAAGGTCTTAAAAATTACTTTCGGAAAAGTATAATCATATAATCATACTTCATTAATTCTGTCTTGGAAATTTAACTTCAGATTAGGGATATTCTGAATGGAATATTTTTAAAAGAAATCACTTCTTAGAACTTTCTAGCACATATACCAATCAAACTAGACTCAATGAACTGATAAGATGACAGGTCTTCCCAGGGATTGATTGATAATCATAAAAATGATGAGCTGTAATTAGCATGTCAACAATATTAAATAGTTACTTCTGAAGTACTTCACTAAGATGGCAATTTTTTGATATCTTTATAACCCATATTTTATCGAGGAAAAACCTCATAAATAGAATTGACTCATGTAGTTAGTAGGTGAATAAATGATTATTTTTAACTGTATGGCGATAAAGCAAGGGTAGAAGAATAGAAAAGATAAATGGAAGCAGAGGTAGAAGAGTTAAATACCTCCATCCACATGAATCTTGGTATTTTCTTTGGCACTTGAAAAGACATCCTGTGTCCCCACAGGACTTGCTCTACATCCATTAGAACTACTGATCAATATCCCACTCCCTGGTATGGCACTGTCCCTAAGAGAGTTTGTGCATGGGGGAAGAAAAGGTTGTTTTATTTTATAGTCTAAAAAGCAAATTCAATCAGAAGGACAAACACAGACCTTCCAATTTTAGAAATCTACATTTAGAACTGGAGGGCTGAAGGAGTAGGGTAACAACCAATCTTTTGATTCCTCTAAGAGCACATTTATTTTACTTTCCCCTAGGAACCAAGTACTAAGGGAGGATGAGAGAAGATTTTACGTGGCAAAAAATATATTTGAAGATGCTTATGGAGTTTGAAAAACAGGAAATAAGAGATAAATAGCACAGGGAAATTTTGTTTTGATGAAATAATGGTCTCAATATTAAAACTAGAAATTTAGCATTGACCTATGAACATGTGGTTTCCACACAGATCTCAAGCCCCTCCCTTATTCTAACCAGGCAGTATCTGGCCGCAAGAGACTTTTCAACTTTGGACCTGCCTTTTGCTAACCTGAAAACCTTCCAAGAAAAAGAGACCAGAATGTAGTAAGCAACTCTTCAGAGAAAGTCAGCACCTACATTCTGGTGTCATGTGTGGTGCATAAAGTGAGTTTACACCAATTTACTGTGGAAACTGAGCCTCAGGGATCCACTTAAAGTGGCCTAACCATTCTTCAGCATACCTGCAATATCCAG